TATTACAGTAGCTGCAGTAGTTGATATAAAAAATTAAGGATAATGCAGAGGTGAAAGTTCTTATATTATTGGTGAACTAAATATTCGAGATTATATTAAGTTATGTTTCGTTCCAAATTCGAGTTTCTTGATAAATTGGCTGTTTAGCATTAAACTCTTCTCGCAACTACGGAGTTAATTTGCGTGTAAATTTATTTAAAAAATTTCAAAACGAAACTGGAATATCTTAAACTTCATACATATTGGAAATATATTAATAATTTTCTTTGATATTTTTTGATTTGATTTGAATTTTTAACTAGTAAAAATTATATAAAAAACCTAAAAATGTTCAGAAAATTATTCGAAAACTAATTTTAAAAGTTTAATTAAAAAATTTTTGAACTAGTAAAAATTATATAAAAATTCTAAAAAAAAATTTTCGAAAACTACGTTTTAAAGTGCAATTATTAAAAATACTCGAAATTAAGTCACAACACCCTTTTTTAAGCTACTAGCCTTAAAAAGTAGTAGCTAATTAAAATGATAGGAAGAGCAAGACTTTCTGTTATGCCATAAAATATCAATTAATGTGCGAGCTATTTTTTGTTGCTTTTGTTATAGATTTTTGTTGCTTTTGTTGTTTAAAAGCGTGCAAGACTTGCAAATTTTTCTGTTCAAAAAAATTTCACAATTTTCAACGCTTTTGACAGCCTCCACTTATTTGAGTGCGCATATAAATATTTGCATACATATATTTGTGAACGTTCGTTTGTGTTTTTGCGAAAAAAAACGCTATGTACAAAAGACGAAAAACTGCGCATACCAACTTTTTGTTTTGTTTGTCAAATATATATATAAAATTTTTTTTTTTGCCAGCAATATCAGACACATTCCAGCAGCATTGTCAGAGACAAAGCTAATTTTTTTGTGTCTATATATGTTTGATTTGAAAAACATATTTATATATAATACACATGCATATACATATATACGTACACACGTATTTGTATACAATTCTAATTATTTGCAGCTACCCGAAACAATTATCACCCCGCGTCATTTTCAAACCATTTCAAGTATTATTTTATGCTGCTACAACAACAATAATAACGGTATTTTAATAATTTAATTACGTTTTTTAACAAAAAATTCCCTCAATTACTTCTTGGCCTTTGTATCGCTACAATATAACTAACTATTACAAAGCCAAAAGAAAGTAAGCCTCGTATTGCCGAGCTTTTTTTTGTGAAGAGCTAAAAATCCTGATTTTTTTGTTATAAATTTAACCAACGAAGATTATTTGCCCTTGTATCAGTACCACTTTCATGGTCGAAAACAAGCAAGCCTCATATTACCGAGCTTTTTTTTTGTGGAGAGCCAAATGTAGGTGAGTTGAAATGAGATCTAAACCTCAAACCTGATTTTCTTTGTTATAAATTCAACCAAATAAGGTTCTAAACCGGCTGATTGATACATATATAGTCCGATACAATGAGCTGGTTTACGAAACTTTAAACAGAACAGTGTTGCATTTCAGGTTATTAGTTTAGCCGTAGCTCGCTAAGTTGCTTCTATGCACCATGTTTGAATAAAATAAACTCTTCGGTTACTCAGACAAAAATATTTCAAAAAATATTTAATCACGCGAAACTGATATCTTTAAATTTTAAAATCAATTATAATCTGGGAACTTTGGCAATTTTGATGAAGTTCTACAAGATTTTATACACTTTTAAATTTACTTGCGGAGTTTTCTTCTATCAAGCAATGAAAATGTGTATCTTTAAAAGACTACTACAAAAGTCTTGTCTTTAATGTTTATTTGATAAATTTCTAACCTATTACTAAATTCACTAATAAATTTACATAGCACACAATTCTACAAATAAAATATTAATAATGCATTTGACACAAGAATTTTCAACGACAACCGCAACTCAACTGTAATTTGAAGAGTTTCTGCAGACGTACGTCCTTTTCGAACACGTTTCGTTTATCGGCGGGCACAATCGACTCGATGCGATCGTAGATTAAACCATGCACACCCTGTTTCTTGTACCACTCGATGGCGTTGCGATCGCACAGCTTGTCACCCCACAGCATAACCCACTTCTTCTGTCGATTAGCCAGCGTTACAGCGTCCGGGTGACTTTCAAAGATGCTCGCAGCCGGCGCAATGCCATTCAAGTCAAACGCCTGTGCAGTATTAACCGCCGGATGTAGACAGTGCGTGCGCGGATCCAAAAACTCTGGCACATTATGCGAAACCGTAAAGAAGACGGGATAAATATTTTGTTTGAAACGCAACATAATACAAATATCCGCATCGAAGGAACTAAAGCAGCACAAACGACCCCAACTAACGTCTTTTACCACGCACAATATGGCGTCCACATACTGATTTTTATCGATAGTCTGTACGCTCTCAATACCGCCGGCGTAATAAGCTTGCGGCCATTTGATTTCCATATTACAGCCGAGAAAACGATTTGTGGTGGTGAAAAACTCCGTCAAAGTTGGAAATAGACGCTCAGCGGAATTGCAAACACTACACGGCGCCGGATATTCTATGATGCGCTCATTTATAATGCGATAAGTGACCAAATGCTGCAGCTCTTCATAGGTGAAATCTTTAACGGATTTCGTGCACAGATCCGCTTTGGTAAGCGGTTTATTATCAACAGTCATACAAACAAACAGCTCGAAATCGTGATAGATGATGGGCACTAAATCTCTTGTCAGCATCACATCAAACTCGACCATATCAGCGCCCGCCTTGTATGCCTCCTGCATTGAGTGCAACGTGTTCTCAAGTATGGGTGCTGGATTATCGGCAATGAAACTGCGCCCGATGCCACGATGTCCGATGTCAAGACCCTTCCAGCGACGCGGCCAATACTGCAAGAAGGTTGTATTCAACTTCACCTGCCAATCCGTCATAGCATTTATAACTAAATATTTTAATTTCAAACGTGCCACCTCCATGCCATTAGTAATACTAGCGAAACTGACTGTCAACAGACCCTCGCTGGTATTTAAGGCCGCGGGTGGTATATACATTTGACCCAACAGCTGTACGCAACCCGTCGATTCATTGGACAAATACAACTTCAGCAAATAGCCGACCATCGCTTTGTCCACCATCAGCACTTGAAACATTAATGTATTATTATTATAGACGACACCCAAATCGGGCTGCTCCTTCATTTGACTGCCACCATAAAGCATATTCGAGTATTGCGCATATGCGCGCGCCGACGGCAATATAGGTAGCATTAACTCCGGATTAACAGGCTCCAGCTTCAGTCTTATCTCTTCTTCCGGCACTATTGGTAAATTCTCTTTGAATTCCAACGCATTGAAGAACAACTTAAAGAGCACTACATGTCCGGTGTTAAGCCAAGCTTTGCGCACTTTCAGTTTATTGGGACAAATGCAACCGAAGCGATCAACGCATTCCACTTCCTTACACATGAGTTTGATTTCGCGCGCACGCTCTTGTATCTCCCAACGTCGCGCTTGTACAATCTGTGTGGCTTTGTCCACCGCGGCGATAAAATAACGATAGCGTAAGAATTTCTCCAACGAAAGCTCAACTACCGCCGTCCATTCGCTATAGTCATCCACGGAGCGTTCTAAACGTGGCGCCAATTGCACATTCCATTCGCCGAGCGCCTTCTGATTGCCCATCACGCCGACTACTTCGTAGGGCGCAATCCGTGTGCCCGTCAAATTCACTTTAAAGTGCACAATCGCTGTATCTTCCGACATGGTTTTGGTACTTTGGAAATGTTTTAAATTGACCAAAACGTTACGTTTACTTTTATTAACACATATACAGAAATTTGGAAATATATTCGTACAATTTATGTAACTTTTGTTACATTTTCTTTTGGAACAAAAAAAATTTGACAACATTCTTGTCTTATCTGTAAAAACGCCCATATGGGATTTTATACTCGAGCACTAATTTGAATTGCTTTGAGTGTGAAAGTAGCTGAGAGAAAGATAATATAAGTATTACTAGCAAAATTATTATATTTTTGGATGATCGTTAGTCATAAAAAAAACGGCAAAGTCTTAAATTATATTTCGACAGAAAAAAGGATTGCTCATTATGTTTCAAAAATGACTTCGGTCAAGTGGCCGCCGTGGTTACGGTGGATCAAGCTGTCGGTATATTGCAGTATCTTCCAGGCAGAAGTCTTTGCTACAAGGGCGTTTCGGAAAGAAAAAAACGAAAACTTTCTACTCACACGGTCTCGAAAAGACTGCAGAACGGTTGCTGACCTAGTCACAGGTTACAACTTACTAACGTAACGTGCGAGCCGTATGGGCATTCCTAACAATGATATATGTAGAAAGTGCCGGGAAGAAGGCTTGAGAGAAACGCTGGAGCACCTACTCTACTTATGTAAACTTCTCTAAAACTCGGCTTAGATTATAGTTCACGATGCAAGATAATGCGCCCATCAGAAGACGCCTACGGTTGCGCGTTATGGCGTATGAACACATTCGGGTATTTTTCGATATTTTGCAACAACGTCTTCGGTATACATTGTACGGCGCCACTGAGGTAGCGTTGTGCGAAACCGTATTAGTCAATGGCGAGAAAATATAACTCCTGGAGAACCCTAAGACTGGAAATAGACACTGAAAACCATGGGTTGTAAGTTTAAAGTCAGTTGTCGATCGATAAGTTAAACCATAGTAGAACCAAAACGTAGAGCTTTGTTCTATTTTACTTCTAGTTTGCGTCAGCTCGTGAGCTGTAAGAAAAATCCAAAAAATCCGCCAACATGATGTTCTGACTAAATGACTTTCTTGGAAATACGAAGCGCTTTGCAAGAACCGTACTTCTAACTTAGGAAAAATTCTCACAGCCAATTGATATCAGATTCCTTCTCGCATACTCAAGCAGTCAGCCGACTAAGTTTACTACCGAACTATGCAAAAATAAAAACTCAAAAAACTGTTTTCTTTTGCCATTTCTAGCTTATTTTCTATTTTTTTCTTTATTCGTTACATGTTTTTGCTGTAAGTACTCCGACTGTATGTTGAAATATTTAAAATTGAAAAAATAACAAAAAATATTAAATTACATTCAACGGCAACCACAACTGCGCTGCAGCTCAAAAAGTTTCTTCAGCTGTTCATCTGTACCAAAAATACTACGCTTATTGCATGCCAACAACAGATCAAGACGATCACAAATCAAAGCGTTAACACCTTCTGCACGATACAAATCTATTGTAGCGCAATCGGCCAAATTATTACCCCACAAAACGACCCACTTATTTTGACGTTCTGCCATCGCCAGTGCATTCGGATGTTTGCGCAGCAGGCTAGCATTGGTCGCAATACCATTGAGATCGAATGCTTTTGCCGTATTTATACCCGGTTGCACGCAATGCGTACGTGGATCGGTAAATAGCAACGGTTCCGACTCGAGCAACAGCAAAATCGGATAGATATTTTGCTTATAACGCAACATAATGCATATGTCGGCATCGAAGGATGAGAAGATGCAGACGCGTCCCCAACTCAACTGCTTTACCACATTGAGTATGACATCCATATACTTATTCTTGTCCATATGTTGTAGACACTGTGAACCGCCGGCGTACAGATCTTGCGGCCACTTAATTTCGATATTAAAACCGAGCATTTTGTTGGTTTTCTCGAAGAGATCTTGCAATGTCGGAAAGAGTCGCTCATCTGCATCGCTTACTGTTTCCGGTGCAGGACAAATAATCAAATTATCACCGACCACTTTGTATGTCTGCATAGCCTGCAATTCGGCGTAAGTCAAGCAGACAATGGGCACGGAGACAATATCACTCGCGCTGCTAGGTATTATCGACGAGTTTGGACACATCATTACATAGAAATCATGATATATTATGGGTACTAAATCTTTAGTGAGCATCACATCGAACTCCACCATATCAGCGCCGATCTCAAATGCGCGCTTCATGGAGCTGATTGTGTTCTCTAGTGGCGTTAGCGCTGCATTATGCTCCACAAAACTACGTCCCAGACCGCGATGTCCAATCAGCAAGCCCTTCCAGTGATCGGGCCAATACTGTGTGAATGTGGCGTTTAACTTCACTTGCCAATTCGGTGTGGGATTTATTATCAAATATTGTATTTCCAATTTAGCCAGCTCCTCCGTGGCGTCGGGTGAAAGCAATGTCACATCTAATACACCTTCGCTCTCCTCGAGCGCTTCGGGTGGCAAATAGCTTTGCGCTAAGAGACGTACGCATTTGTTGGCGCCATTGAAGGCAAATAACTTCACTAAGAAACCAACTGTTTTCCGATTCAACATATATATCTGATAGATTAGTGCTCTTGCATTGTATTCTATGCCAAAATCTGGCTGATTCTTCAGCTTACTGTAGCCATATTGTAAAGTGGTGTAAAAAATTTCTGCGCGTGCGGATGTTGCTATGGCTTGAAGGTTTACCGCGTCTAACGGTTCTATTTTCAACTGCATTACTTCGCCCGCCTCAACAAGCTGATCCTGCGCATTACACTGCAACGCCTCACCGAACAACTTGAACAACACGATGCTGCCGACATTGAGCCATGCGCGCCGCAATTTCGGTCTTCCCGGTGTTATGAAACCGAAATGATCAGCGGTTTGTGCAAACGCTTGCGTTAAGCGTAATTCGCGTGCACGCTCGCCAACTTCCCAACGACGCAATTGTACGGTTTGTGTCTTCTCATCCAACACACCGATGAAGTAGCGATAACGTATCCATTTATTTAACGGTACCGTTATGTTCGCAGTCCACACATTGTAGTCGTCAGCGCAGCGTTTAAGTAGCAGCGCTCCTTGTATCGACCAGCTGCCAAGCGTTTTCTTATTGCCTGTCACACCGACCAGTTCGTGTTCGGCGATTCGTGCGCCAGCCATTTCGACGGTAAGTTGCAATTGTCCAACTGAACTTTCCGACATTCTTTTTTCCAAAGTGCCTTGGATAAGCGAGAATCCGCTGTTGAGGTGGGAAAAGTAAAAAATTTTATTTATTTTTTTTTTGTTTTCTTACGAAAATTTTATGTAAATATTTTTATTTTTCAACTACTCACTCGCAACGGTTGACATCTGTGACATCTGACGTCTAATAATGCTCACTTTAAATAAAATTAGACACGCAGCGTCCCCGTGATAACTATGTATGTGCGTGGAGTTACCTAAACTTGTTTTGCTGAAACTCGATTTTTCTTGTGAGAAATCGAAAATATTTTGGCTATCAACAACTCTCGAAATAGACCTTAACTTTATCATTCTTGAAGTTGAAAATTTCCTTTCGTTTATCCAGCTGCCGCATTTTTCGATTTCTACTAAGTTTTTTCGAAAATCCGCTCTGAGCGAATTGCTTCTAGATATTATGCAATTAAGTTTTACTGTCAATTTCAAGCACTAAACTATCGTTGGGCGACCTCAGCCACCAAACTTATATCGGCACCAGAATCTTTGCACACCATTTTAACACATTTCAGCTCACTAAAGACAGTTCTTACATACACTGTTATTACCCAAATAAATGAATGAATAGTACTAATGAGAAGGCCTCATTTTTTGGTTATTACTTACCGTTAGATTACCAAAGTTCCCTAATACAACCAGTCCCTTTCGCCAGAAAATTGAACCAAAGCACTAATATTTGTTATAATCTTTTCCGCAATCACAAAATAAAACGCAAACCATTTTCACGCAAGAAAATAAGGAACATTCGACACAAGCTTTACTTGTTGTAAAACAATAAATCTACAAACAAATTAACACTAGGCAAAACATCTACAACAAATTCACATTACTAAGTATACTCTCGATCGTTGAATTCACAGGTTTTTGCTGGTGTGGCGAACATTGCAATCGGAAAAAATCGGGCAAATCATCTTCCAACTCGAAAGCGCTTCGCTTATTCGCGGGTAACCATAAGTCCAGACGATCATAAATTACACCAGTTGGACCTTGCGCCTTGAACCATTCAATCGAGTCGGTATTCTTAAGCGCATCACCCCATAGGAAGATCTTTTTACCCTGCCTTGCCGCTATTTCAATCCATTTGGGATTGCTCTTTATATGTACGGCATTCGGCACAATGCCAGCCAAATCGAAAGCTTGCGCATTATTAATAGTGTCGTAGAGCGTGTCCGCGCGTGGATCAGCATAAACGCCGAGAATGGTGGATGAGAGAAACATGACCGGATATATATTCTGTTTGTAACGCAGTAGCGTACAAATATCGGCATCGAAACTTGTGAAGAAGCTCAGGCGACCACAACCATGACGCAACATCACATCCAATATGCGGTCCACATAGGTATTCTTATCGATAGTTTGTACGCTTTCGAGCGCACCATTCAATGTTAGCTGCGGCCATTTAATTTCAATGTCAAAGCCCACCGACTTATTCACTTTGGTGAGAAAATCTTCGAACAATGGGAAGAGTCGTTGATCCTCTTGTTCTACATTATTGTGTGCCGGATACTCGATGATCTTATTGCCCACCACCTGATAGGTTTTCAAATTCTTAAGCTGTTCATAGGTAATATCCTTGATTAGTACTTCTGTGAGATCAGCTTTGCTTGTGGGCGTCTTGGAATCCATACAGACATAGATATAGTAGTCGTGGTAAATTACTGGCACCAAATCGCTAGTTAACATCACATCAAACTCGACCAAGTCAGCGCCCAGCTCCGCGGAGGCCTTCATAGACGCCACAGTATTCTCAATTATTGCTGGCGCATTAGTTGCCTGCTTCAGACTTTTACCCAAACCACGATGTCCCGCATCCAATGCCGTCCAATTGCTGCGCCAGTATTCCACAAAAGAAGTGTGGAAATCGATAGTGGAGTTCGGCAATGGTTTAATCACCAAATACTGTATGTCCAAACTGGCGATAGCATTCAGCCATACTGGCGATAAGAGATTGATGGTGAAACGACCTTCTGTACCTTTCAAGAACTCCGGATATATATACTGATAGCCTATCAAGCGCACGAGCTCATTATCATTCTGTGTCGCATACAGCTTCAACAGATAGGCCACATTATTCAGCTGCGATACTGTCGTCTGAAATATCAATATATCGTTGGACTTGTAGGGCACACCAAACTCCGGTTGCGTACGCAAGTAACTGTCACCGTACACCATACGCACATACTCTGTGTGCGCCTTCGCCGAGGGCAATATAGCGGATAAGCGACTCGGCTCGACCGGCTGCAACTTGAAACGCAACTCCTCATTACCCACACTCGACTCATTCACATGCAAAGGATTGCGAAACAACTTGAATTGTACAATATTACCGGCATTCAGCCAACCGCGTTGCAGCTCACGCTGCTCCGGATCAATCCAACCGCATATATCGCTGCGATTCCCCGAAACAGTGCCCACTTGAAAGCTGCGCGCATTGATATGTGATTCCCAGCGGCGCACCTGCACCACACCAGTCGCATTGTCTATGGCCGCAATGAAGTAGCGATAATTGATGGTAGTATTCACCGGCAACGCAACGCTGGCCGTCCACACGCGATGATCCTGTGTGCGATTCAATAGGATCGCCTTGTCGGCACGCCAAGCACCCAGCTGTTTGACATCGCCAACCATAGCGACTAGTTCATAGCTGGCAATCGGTTGCTCGTTAAGCGAAACGCTGAAGTTATATGGTATCAACGAGTTGCGCTTGAGTGGTATGAAGCGGCGCGCTGTGTAATACTTCTCGTAATAGGAGGAATCACACTGCGCGGCGCGCGGTAGTACAGCGAAAATGCTTAGTACAGCGCAGAGCGCACAGAGTTTGGTCAGCGAAAACATCGTTGCGCGCTGCAAAAACTCTTCACTTTAATTTACGCGTCTATACTGTTTTCAAAATCTGTAAGGCGCTAAGGTCCTTGTTCTTGACGCAGCGTTTTTCACTAGAAATTGCGTCGCGCGTACACTATGCCTGCTGTCCACTTAATCGCACATTACCTATGCCTTCACTACGAATTTATTCATTTCTTTAAGTTTTGATTTTCAAGTTTTCACCTGAGCGCTTAGGCTTATCGTAGCCACAGATTAGCTGAAGTTGACTTATCAACTTCGTTGCGCTTTGCGCAAAGTTTATGTATTCGCAATATTTCAATCGATTATAATTTATGAGCTATTTTGCTTCGCCACCATCAAACGGTATATTTATAAAATTGTTAATAAAAATTTATGACAAATTCTTGTTTTTCACTTCGCTACTTTTTAAAGTTTTTTTGCTTTATTGTTATGTTTATTATATAAAATATTTATTGCAATATTTTTATTATTTTCACTCGCTGTGATTTCGCGTCGTATTCGTTGTGCTCGTTTAGCACCAAAAACTGCACTGATCGCTGCAAAGTTTCCCACAAACTATCTTGTCACCTACTAACAAAAACAACACTAATCGACCCACAAATTGTACCGAGGTTAACAGCATTGGATTTGCTAAAACTAAAGCGCTTGTAAATGAAACAAGTGAATAATTTCGCTGTGCGCTGCACTGCGCAATCAAGCGTCGAAGGTTCGACCACCAAGATCACACATTTAACATGAATTAGTACCAATAAGCATGCGCACTGTACCCGCGCGTCCCACTCTAGACGTAGTGACCTTTGTTGCGCTTAGCAGCAATGCTAAAATTGAAAATTCAATGTCAATTGTACAACAACCTGCGGGCGGAAGCGTCATCAACCTGCTAACCCCAAATTCTAATATGACTTTTGTACAGCAGAGCAGGGGTGACCAAAAAATTTAACTCTGAATCCTTAATTTCAAGTTGTTGGGGCGATACCAAGTCCGAAGCTCAGAATTCCATCTCAAAATTTCATCTTAACATTTAGAAACCAGTCTGTTTTAGCGCAGTGATTGTTCAGCACGTTCTAAAGAATTCGAAAAGTCCATCTATCACTGTAGAAATTTTATCGTAAATAGCGTACCGTTATTACCCTTGCATTTATAGAAGAGACCCTTATTGTGGAACTTCATATTCCACTTTTTATCGAGAACCTTGGACTAACTTCCGACAAGTAATCTAATTTCAACAGCGGTTTCATTGAACTATTTCTTATGCTCCCTCTTTATGGGTTTTCAAAGGCAAAGCAAGATACAAGTACACGTACCACCCAAGGCATTTTATGCAAATTAATTATGTAATACCGCGCATTACGGTATCTCTGATTACACGAAAATATTATGCACATCAACAAGCCCTCGGCAAACTCTCCCCACCACCGCTCTACCGCGACCTACCTAATTAAAGATTTATAAGTTCATAAACCCCAATAAACAGTTATCCAACGAAATAATTCAAATAATCATTCAATTATGTATGGCAATTATGATGATCACGTGTGTTTTTGTACAACAAAGCGATAACGCTGACGGCGAGTCAGCATTGTTTGCACGTTTCCATACGCTGCTCGTGTTTAACGGGTGATAGCTCGTGTTTATAGAAGTTGACGAGTAGGTGTATGTAGTTGTAGCTGAATTTGGCATTTAGCAACAAGTCGCTGTGCTCACTGATTTTTGCAAAACTACCCACAATTTCCGCTTTTGTGCAAATAAATTGCGGTAAACACAACTGTACGAGCATGAAGAACGTGAGCAGACTGAGATATGGCTTGTTGATTGGTATAGAACAAAGTTTTGAGTGTGCAGTCCACAAATATAAAAACAGCTATTTTTAATTTTTTTAATGGCATTACACATACACAAATACTTATGTGTGTACATTCATATATCAATAAATCATTTTTGATAACCGTTAATTAATCGACGAATTCGATTTCATTAGCAATGTTAACCATTGCTACTTGTTTTGTTTACATTTGAATCTTATCGGCTGTGTACTCAGTACTGACCAGCACGTATCGTACTTGGCACAGCTTCTGTTACCTTTGGCGAAGTCCGCCATGTGATTGTTCCACAAAAAGTGGAGCATAATTTAGGTTAGGTAAATAAGCTTATTTCTTGTGAAGCCATACCACTTGGACAGCTAGAGACGCTTGTCCGTTGTGATGCCCAGCTCACTGTCAGCGAACTCAAACTTTGCTATCGAAGTGGAAGCAAACCCCCGCACTTCGGAGAAGTACATCTGCTGCTGCCTTGATGGCTGCCACTTCTGCTTGAAAGACACTACAAAGTTATCTGGCAGTCTGAAACAAGAGTTGATAGAGACCATAAGGTAACCAATGCCTTCTCTAACATCCAGGGTAAAGCAGACAGAACATCACTTTGCGGCGTGCCTCTATTGGCCTTTCATAGCACAGTGTTCTACTTAAAGATCTGATATCCGAAGAGCTGATCGAAGCTTTTTACAATTAGTATATTTTAAGGTCAACAATCAGCTCATGCTATATTTTTAGATTTCAACTTCGGTTGTTGTTCGAAGCCACGCCTCAACGCATGTCAATCAAGCACTCAATATAATGGGTTACTGCTCTCAGCGCATACTATCATTTGGTCATTTGAAATTTTTATTTTTAATGGTTGAGTAATACTTTGCTAATTTACAACCGAATATTAGCTCTAATCTTAATGGATTGCGATTATAAAGTCAGTGATAACTATCGGATGGACGTGTTGATTTACTTACCCGTTTATTAAATTTCAAAATTCATATACTTTTTTTGGTCACAACAATGCTTTTGTTAAGGTCGGAGAGTTGGCGAAATGAAAATAAACAACACCTATGTAAAGCTAAATATTATTGCCATTCCTATCCGAGATATTCATAACCTCAATTCGTGTAAGTAGAACTCACAACCTTCTATCGGCTGTGTGATACAAATCGCCATCCAACTAGAATCATATCCATGTATTGCTGTCTGCAAATCAATGATAAAACTATACTTAATTTATTTTCATAACCGATTAAAAATATATATATGTTTTCTGAAATCAATCAGCGTTTAGAAAACATATGACCCAGGGCTTAGTGAGAAATAATTGGAAGAACTATTCGAATCTCTGCAAAATTGGAAAGTAAAGTACTCTTCAGGCAAACGAATAGCACTTGTTTTCAATGAACTGCAGTAGCTCATCATATCCAGTTAAAACGGTCTAACAGGTTTCAAGAGTATATGAGATTAGGTTAGATTGAAAAGTTTCTGCGATACATAAGCGCAGTAGTAGTGATTGACGTGTAGCTCCTCGCACGGCTATGGCAACAAAACGAGCAATTTTTATATTCTGTACAGAGTATATTAAATTTGTCACGATTTTTTTAACACCCAAAACGAAACGTCAGAGACCATCTAAAGTGTATATATAATATAATATATATGATGAACTTTTTCATTTAACGAGATATCTTCACGAAATTTGGCATGGGTTATTGTCTAAAGCTATGGTGCAATCCTTGAAGAAATGGTTTAGAGCAGATTACTTTAGCATATAGATGCCATACAAACTAACCGATCAAAATAAAGATTTTGTAAGGAATCTTTTTTAAATGTGAAGGGTATTATAGCTTGTAGATATATATATATTACAGTGTTCATTGTATCTTTGGATACAGAGGTAGTAGTTGTATCCTTTAAATCCTGCATATACCTATATATGTGGATTAATTTACAATACACGCAAGTGCAATAGACACGAATAACTATGTATATGACCAAAATAGGTAAATGAAGAAATCATGTTCGAAACAATTAAAATTATTTATATTGACATCGATTGCAATTTATCACTTGCCGCAACAACAACAATGACAACATAAAACTGCGAAAATGGCAGTGAATACCAGACAGAGTGAAGGCAATCCACATACACATACAAACATATTTACATATATGTAAATTTGAGTATCGTGAACACAAAAACAAAAGAATAGGAAAGCTGTCATGTCGACGCGTTAAACTGTTCACTTTTAATTCAAGCATATATAATATTTCCACATATATATGTATATGTGTATGGGCGTGTGTGTGTGCGTGTGACAAGCCAACCTCGCTAGCTTCCCTCATTGAACTTGAAATTTACCCCCATTTAAATGAAAGCCTTTAACAAATGCCGGGTCATGTGCAGAAAAATGCTTATGCAACAACAATATCGCAATTGTTTTCAAAAATTAAATTTAAAAAATCCGGCCTTAACCACTTTTCATTTAATTTTGCATGCATTCTGATGTGATTCAATTTCGCATTACATAGCAAATTCTTTGATACATTCACTAATTGTTTTGTTGTGTTGCACCTGCAGCGCATTTGACCCAACTACCAAAGTACATACATATTTATGTGATATATGTATATATAAATATATGTGTATATGAATAGTCACTTGTGTTGCCCCCAAAACTGGAATTCGCGGTGAGCTGTATTTCATGTGTAATCAGCGAAACAGTTCAATTGCTGTAGGCACTCATACACTGAAAAAAATATGTGGCAGTACAAAAAAAGCTGAATTCTTCAAGTATTATTATTACTCCTTGTCCTGCTTGTCCTCTTTGTACCATTTCATAGTTTTCTGTAAAGCAAATGCGTCAAAAGTCACGCTAAGCGGCTTGGACTCGTAAAAAGCTGAAAACCGTCAACCATGAGAGCTACATCGTTCACGTAGGCAATCACCCGACAGCCGACTTGCGCTGACTTTCGCCGCCTTCTCTAAACTAGCACTTTAAAATTTAAATTTGAGGGTTTTCCTTAGATAGCTTAGTTCTTATCATGTCCGAGCTAATTGTCAGAGTATTCAAAGGTCATAAGCAGTGCTCAAAAGTTAAACTTTGAATAACTTCACATAATATCTTGATAGCTACCAGAAGCAATATTTAATTGAGAAAACGCTAACCTCAATCCTGTCGTTGAAAAAGGTTCGCCTGTACAGAAGTAAAAAATAAATATAGATATCTGCAGTTCCTGACCTCACAGCGCTAACGGTAGATTACGAAAGCATACGAATCCCAGTGGCTGCCATTTTGACAGTATTTCTTTAACTTTTTTTCTCTTATACATATATTAATAAGCTTTCTTACATTATCTGTTGCAGAGACTGCTAATGGAAGCGTATATACGACAAAAGCGCGCATCGCCTGGCATGGTCCAGGCAAGTGACTTACAAATAACCCGTCCCATGTCGGGGCTGCGCACATCAACGGCCGCTGGCCGCGAGCTGCATGCCTACGATGGTCCAATGCAATTCATCAGTTCGCCACACAATCCCGATCAATTATTAAGTAACACCACCAGCGTCACAGCTACGAATACGAACGCGACCACCGCCAACTCCAGCAACAATGCGGCCAGCACGAATGGTCGTCAGCATGGTGTCAGCTTTACGAACAATATGCGTCCGCGGACAGCACAGATGACAGGATACATCATCAATCAGGACGGTAAATAAATGAAATACAAAGGCGTTATTGTTGTTTTCCACTTTTGAAAGTTCCAATTTAACTTTATTATATTTCTTCGCACATCTTCCGTTGTGCCTACAGATTTAATCGAAGAGATTTCCTCACACGAACTCGAAGATGACGAAAGTAGTCCCGTCAATCATGTGAGCAACAATGGACAACGACAAAAGCAACGCCAACAACAGCAATTACAACAACATCAACAACGTTCATACAGTCACGATCAGGATAGCAGCACATTGGACGAAGATGATTATGCGAATCGAAATATCGAGGTAGCTGCACCCATCATGCCATTGAATCACAGCATCGCCAATAGCATCGCATCACAAACAAACACCACCACTAATTCGGTCACCGGTGCACGAAGCACTTCGGCGCAATCGACCGGCACCGGTTCGGCTAATAACACTGCCAACTATTCGAACAGTGCGCAGCAAACGAATTCAGCGGCGGATGCCAGCGGCGAACCGGAAGGTGATCTCGTCGGCAACATCGAACAGTTCGTCATGCAGCCAGCATCGCAGGGTGTGCTCTTCAAGTGTCGCATAACGCGTGATCGCAAAGGCATGGATCGTGGCCTATTTCCAATATATTATTTGCATTTGGAGCGCGATTATGGCAAGAAAATATTTCTCTTGGGCGGTAAGAGGGGTGGATGATATTCACTACTTTTTGTGACCTTTTGCAACCAACTGCCTTTTATATATTTTTTTTCAGGACGCAAGCGAAAGAAGAGCAAAACATCCAATTATATTATCAGCTGCGATCCTACGGACTTGTCACGGAACGCCGAGGGTTTTTGTGGCAAGTTGCGTTCGAATGTGTTCGGCACCTCCTTTACCGTGTTCGATAATGGCAACAAGGATAGCACGGAAAATCCACGACTCGACTTGGCGGTGATCATCTATGTAAGTAGGCACTTACAGCGTACTGTGATAAGAATGAGAGTTTGCTTGTTCCAGGCCGACTTGCGAAAGACTAATGAAACGGCAATTGACGCCTGTTCAGCTTCAAGCGCTTATAGACGAAATTTTTTTTATAACTTCATCGAGTTATTAGTTGCCTCGTTAGCACTTCTGCCCAGCAAGTGAAAAAAATGTTGAATGGTTTGTTTTTAACGATTTTCTGCCCCAAACCCCTATTTATAATAACAAATCTTACTAACTCGGTTAAAATCTTTAAAAAGTTTTTAAGAGCGTTAAAAGAAGTCCTAGAGAGGCTTTCAAATAAAACCTAAATAAGTAATAAACACATGAGCCATTGATTCTTAGATCACATGACCACCACGGTCGAAGTAATGCAACATAGGAATATTAAAGTCTTATTTAAACTTTCTAAACGAACTTTTGGTACTCTAATAAGTCTTAAATTATCTAAAATATAATATATCCATCTAACTTTCTAAACGTATTTTCGCGGCTTTACTTGGAGTTGTATAATTATTTATGTCCATATGGTATGGTCCATATATGGTATTTGTATATAATATTAACCTAAAAAAGCTCTTTAGGCTCATGCATTTTCATTACCGAAGGTTTGACATTATATGCTAATGTTTGTTAGGCAGCTAAAATAAGGTTAGGTTCGACTTAAATGTATTATCATAAAGGAGTAGCGCTAAATAGACCATTAATTTGAGTTAATCAATTTGATTTACACATATGTTTTAATACCTTGTTCTCTATTTGCAGGATACCAATATACTCGGTTTCAAAGGTCCACGCAATATGACAGTGATATTGCCCGGCATGACGGAGGAAGATCAACGCGTGAAAATCAGCTCGGCCGATCCCAAACAACAGGGTATACTGGATTTATGGAAAGTTAAGGTTAGTTTCATAACTCATCACGTTCGGTTTTTAACCATACTTAAGTTCTGTATTTGCTTTTGCACACCAGAACATGGACACGATCGTTGAGCTGCACAACAAGACACCCGTATGGAATGATGAGACGCAATCGTATGTCTTAAATTTTCACGGTCGTGTCACACAAGCATCGGTTAAGAATTTCCAACTCGTACACGATTCGGATCCCGATTATATAGTCATGCAGTTCGGGCGTACCTCCGAAGACGTCTTTACCATGGACTATCGCTACCCGCTGTGCGCGCTACAAGCATTTGCCATAGCGTTGAGCAGTTTTGATGGCAAAATCGCGTGCGAGTAGAAGCGAGAGAGGCTGAGCGAATGATAATTGCAGTGAGACTGCATCATAGTGTTATCAGAACAAAATTATGCTCAAATTTATAAGCGTTCAGCAACAACAATAGTATTTTATTTAAATGTAAATGTAAAATCAAAAACACAGAGTACGGTACGCACAAAAGAGTACGGTCATAATCAAAAAAGTGCATGATGAACTTAATAACAAACGGTTGCCTTAGTTATGAGCGTTCGCAAAGGCGCGCTAGAATATCACCCACAATTGTATGTATTTATGTAGGTGGGTATATACGTGCACCGACTTGATTAACACTAATATTATATTTTTTTTTATAAAGTAATTAAGAGTACAAGTGAGTGTTAGAAGTGTAAACAAAGAGAAAAACATTTAAACATACACACAAATATTTAAAGATGGCATCTAGCTAAATCTAATGGCATCAAAAATATGTAAAAAAACTGTCTAAAACGCGTCTAAACTTTTGCGAGCTTAATAATAAGTTGTAAAGTCTTATCTCTGACACTATTTGCCGGATCATTTCAAATTTTCGAAGAATATGCTCAAATATACAATGAACCAAAAACACTTTTACAGGGCGATGGTTTGCTTTGAAGTGACTTAACTCCTCAACTAATAAAACTTTTGAGTTGCATCCAAAAGTGAGAAAAATTCCATTTTATTAATTTTCACAATGTAATTGAATATATTTTTAAAAATTCAATTTTCTCCAAAAACTTAATAAAATCAAAATAACTCTAGTTTGAAATTATAAAACTCTTGAAGAAAAATTAATATTTTATATGAACACATTATGTTTTGTAGTTTTTGTTTATTCCTAAAATACACCAAATTTTGTGTAAGTTTTGCAGGTATATATGCCCATATTTCTTGGAGAGCCGCCATAACCTCATTTTAGCTGTTAACTTTGCGCACTCGTAACTTCATCTACGCTTATGACCACAGGTGTTCAATGGGATTGAGCTATGGACTCTGGGGAGGATGCAGCAGAATCCGTTTCGCGCAACTATGCGCCAAACCTCAGTTACATAAGCCGTTTGGGATTCACCAACAGTTGGAGAGCGGCGAATCGAACAAGCAGTCAGCACATATAAAATATTATATAACAGAAGTAGAAGTGAAACAGAGTAGAGCTGTTCATAGCGTCCAGGAGACGACGAAATTTCAGCTCTAAAATTACAACTAAATAACTAAAGCCACTATGAGGTCCAGCTCAACCTGTTTAGAAATCACGAACGTTGTTAAAAGTGATGTTTGCAAAGTTAGCACTTTCAATATCAAAATTGCTGTCTAAATTTCTGTTACTATTATAAACGAACAAGGTTTCTAAAAGAATACACACATAACATTTTTGTCACATATTGTTTTCGAAATAAATATATATTTATACCTTGAACACGGTATATTAAATTTGCTACGAAGTTTGTAGCTGCCAGAAGGAAACGTTGGAGACCCTATTAAGTATATTTATAAATGATAGTCTCTCTGTCAGTCTGTATATACGCCACTAAAACCTTAGTTTTTGAGACACACTCTGAAATTTTGCACACGTTCTTTCCTCTCCAAGAACCGCTGATATACTTGTAGTACCATTATAACATATAGCTGCCGTATAAACTGAGTGATCGGAATCAAGTGCTTGCAAAATTTGGCATGAATTATTCTACAAGGCAACGCTACAATATCTAAAAAAAATTCGGATCAGGCACTATATCATATAGATGAACTGAGCGACCAAAATCAAGTTCTTGTATGATGTCTGTATCTTTTTTATTTAATTGCATCGATCATTTCAATGTATCCATATTTTAGTCATTATATATACTATACTTACCATAATATTGTTTAATATGATGCATAGAGTCATGACGAAATATTTGCAATAAAATATATTTATTTTCGTTGTACAAAAAAGAAACACATATTTATAAATATATTTCTACACAAATAACATAACATGTAGTTTTAGAATAAATGATAATATTTGAGAAAACCACTAACATAATTATATAAATACTTATGTATGAGTACATATAAGAAAATTATAAAATTCAAGACAAAAAAAAAACTTAAAAGAAAGCAATAAAGAGTACTTGTAAGAAGAACAAAATAAAACAGTATGCATTTTTTATAAGAGAATTGTTTTAAGATTTAGGATATTTATTTATTTCATAGTAAATAAAGTTTAAGTAATATGAGAAAAACTGGCACAAATATTATAAGGCTTAAGGGATCATTCAAATCAGAAAAAAACGCATTTTTGTGATTTTCATTTTTGGATTTTTTATTTTTTTAAATAACTAGTAATACCCAGATTGAATTCACCATACCATCAATAAACACTGGTGATTGATGCATCCAAAAATTCAAATAAATTCACCGATGCAGTGTTGCTATGTTAATCCATGCCGAAGGGTGTAAAAATAAACGGACGAAAATATTTGCGATTTAATTCCATTTTTTAATCGAGATGAATATTTTAAGTTACTGTAAACAACACAAATAGCGCTCGTATGACTAAACGGCACCAGGATTGCCAAATCCCAAAATATGAAAGGCAACTTACGTATTAACTAAATTCTTTATCTCATGTCATTTGTTCTAACTGAAACTTTTTCGTACCGTTGGCAACATTATAACCTCTTTTTTTTACCAATCGAGTTTTACAACGTAAATTTCAATATGCCTTGATGTAATATTAACTTATTGACAACGTAATTTTTAAACAGGTGGCAACAGCCTTAAAAAATTTGTTTAAATTGTAAGCTTGCTTAAAACTGTTCATTTTGTAGTGCTTTATCTCATATCTTATTTTTAATTTGCGAATTTTCGAATTTTCGAACAGCTGGCAGCATTTGTAATCATTTTTAAACAATTAAGTTTTACACCGCACAATTAAAATAACACTAATCCAAGCCCTTTAGCCTTCACTATGTGTAGTCTTTTTGTATATTACCACCGTGTCGAAATTTGGTTGCGTAACACGATTGCGTTGCTTTTGCTACAATTTGATATTTCTTATTACTAAATATGTATATAATACTGATTTATTTTCAAGGATCAGTAACCGAATCGTGCAAACAACGAAATGTGCGTATTCACCATATCGAGTTCGTGTCTTAAGTCGTTTGTTTTATTATTATGTGTACTCACCTTAACTACCTTAATGACAGTGTGTGTGGCAGACTCCAAGCCTCCAAAAATGCAAAATAAATCAAGGTTAATTGATTTCAAATGATTAATCATTTCAGTTTTATTTATTATAATTTTATTTGAAAGTTCTTATTTAACTATGTAATTGTAAAATATCATATAGTATATACTCGTATGTGTGTATGTATGTAAAATTACAAGTGAATATTTAGTTATTTATTACTTTCTGTTATTTTTTTGCTTATAAACATATGACTTTCATAAATATTATAGGTATATAGTAAGTATGTATTTATATATGTATGTGAGTGACTCAGTGAGTGTATGTAGGTGCAGCAGATACTTAATTGCATTATTGTTACTTTTAAGTGTTACACATTTACTTAAATATACATAAATATATATATATATATATTATATATATATATATACTTAAATACTGTCGTACAAATATCTATTCTTCATACAGTTACATACTTATGCATATATGTAGTTTTTTTCCTATGTAGGTGCTAAGGTTACTTATTCTTTCACATTTCTCTTCAGGTTAACATCGTATTATCCATTAGTTGCATTTTTAAGTGTGCAGATTTACAAAGGTATGTATAGAAATATATTTTATTGTTTAGAAAATGTATGCATAAATAAATTTAGTTTCAAAGTGAAAATAAAAATGTTTTGAAAGTTTTTTTGGAAAAAATGTAATACTACAAAAGTTCCATGGAAATTTTTTATAAAAAAATTGTAATAGTTTGCTTTATATTTTCAATAGTATTTAAATATTATAGTTGGTTATAATTTTATTATTTATCTAGTTTTTCATAGTATTTTTATTATTATTTTATGCATATTGATTTAAATTTGTTTTTAATTCATTGATTTTAGTAATTTAATTGTTTTATTAGTTTTTGATTAAAAATTTAATTATTATATTTTATGTTTTTTTTTTTTAAATTTTTCTGATTTAAATTTATTTTTTTATAAGTTTTATAACTATTTTTAAAGTTTTATTTTGATATTTCATTATTAAATTTTATTATACTTTATTTATTTATTTTTATTTATTTGTTTATAAATTTCTTTGATTCGAAATTTATTAGTATACATATTATATATTTATATAATATTATATGTATTACATATAAATTGTTTATTTATTAGGTATTTGTTGGTTTTCATTTTATTTCCCTATAATTTTATTTTTAACATTTATGTTAAATTTTTTATTAAATTTAATTTTTTTTATGATTCTTTTAATTATTGTTAACTAATTAATTTTTTAATAACTTTTAATTTTTAATTAATTTTTTTTATTTCTTTAATTTTTATAATATTTCTTTAATTTTTGTAATATTTCTTTAATTTTTATAATATTTCTTTAATTTTTATAATATATCTTTAATTTGCCAATATTTTTTAAATTTTTCCATATATATATTTTTTTTTTTTATAATTAGTTTTTTAATTTTTATAATTTTTTTTAATTTTATTATTACCTATTTAATTTTTATAATTATTTCTTAAATTTTTACAAATATTTCCTTAATTTTCAATATTGTTTTTAATTTTTCAATATTTTATTTTTAATTTTTATTTAATTTTTTTTGTTTGCATAATTTTCTCGATTCTAATTTTATTAGTTATAGTATATGGCTCATATTACATTTTAAATAGTTTAAATTTTTTATTTTTATTTCAATAGTTTACATTTTATTTTTTAGCATTTGTATCTTATTTTTTATGACCAACCACGCAATTTTTATTTTGTTTTATTTTTTTATTTTCTATATAACTTTATTTCATTTTATTTTTTTTTTTATTTCATACTTTAAATTTTTTATTTTATTCCTTTTCAAAATATTATTTTGAAATTGTATTATTATTTATATATTATTTTATTTTGATTTCAAGTACTTTTTGTTCACTATTTTTTTAATATAGACCGAATTTTTCATATATCTTATCCTTTATAACACAAGAGATTTTAGCTGCCCTTGCAAGTATATATTTTATTCAAATTAGTTTTATTGCTAATATATTTGCCTTACAATTGACTAAATAGCATACATTATACAGTGTATATATGTATTTATTCTACTAATATAGTATATACATATATAAAAATGTGTATATTTACCCGAGTTTAGTACAAATATATCGCTCATTCCTTGGAAGTCTGACATTTTACAAAATTTTCTTGAAATATGAATTTTAAACAATAAATAAAATGATTTAATTATTCATATTACCAGAAAATAAATTATATTGCTTGCTTTTAGTAACAAAAACATGTTAATTTTTTTACAAATAATTTTTTACTTGTTTAAATTTTTTTTACAAATAATATTTATATTTTTTTTTTATTATTTATTTCTTACAAACAAATTATTTTAAATAATAATTTTGAAATTTTTAATATTTTATTATAAAATTGTTTTATTTGTTTTTTTCTATTCCTTTTTTTCATTTTATTTTATATTATTAATTTTCTTTAACAAATAGTTTTTTAATTTTTCTTAATTTTTTTTTTTTTTGCTGCAAATAATATTTTTTAAATATTTATTTTTTCTAGAAATAAGTATTATTTTTAGATTTTTAATAATTTTTCGACGTTACTTTGCTCAGCAAAATGAGCATTTTTTCTTTTTTACATTACCATGCTTTAACTAACTTTATTAGCTTAAATACCTTAATTTTAAACGATTTACAATATTTCATTTGACTTTTTTATATTTTTATTGTTTTCTGTGTTAATATTTTATGTTACGTACATCGTTCGGTGAAGGAATCATGTATTTACTATAATTGAGATTTATTTACTACTTAATCTATATAAATATATATTTTTAATAATTTAAGTTTCTTCAAAAATAAAATATATAATTTAAGTACTTTAATACTCGTATGCATTAAAAGCGCCAATCACAAAAAAGTAACATAAAATATTTTACAAATATATTTTTTTTTAAGTAGCATTTAAAAGTAAGGTATGGATTCATTTTTTTTTTTTTTTTTTTTTGTTCTAATTGAAATCACATGGGACAAATTAATAAGTCACATAAATTCATACATTATTGCATATAAAAAAATAAATAAATTTAGAAAAACGTGAACATTTTTTTATATTTTTTTAAACAATATAAAAAGTTCTTATTATTATATAAAAATAAATATTTACTAATATAAATTTTTTTTTATACTTTGTATTTTTGCATATTTTTATGTAATGGATAAGACTTGACATTATGTTGTAAGTTTTTTGTCTTATTTTTGTTTGTAATATTAAAAAAAAACTGGCTTTTGAAAGTGTATGCGCTGCAGGTGTATTAAAAATATACGCAGCATATAAGCTTTTCCTACAATTCGTCAATGGTAAAAATTATACAATTGATTATTAACATTTTTTTTTTTATTTCACATAAATTATATAAACTTCGAGTCACATAAGTCTTAACAAAAACTTAATTACGATTCTACGTAAATAGCCTACAAAGAATCAAATATTTGTCTATATTACTGAAACTCCAGTTAGAGCAACAGTAACTGTCTAAATCTCTATCCACCCTTTATTAACTTATTCCAGTAACATCGGTTAAGGCTGCTAATTATAGCAGGCCGTCAGTAATTTTTATTTTCTTTTTTTTTATATTCTTCTTTTTTAGTTAAAAACTAAAGATTAAAAATTTAATCTATTATCCCACTGCTGTTTTTTGCGAAATTTCTGGCAAGAAAAAAGCTCTCTCTTCGCTGCAGTCGAATGGAAAGCTTTTTGGAAGATTTTTGATAAGACGCAGCATTGCCAGTTATAATTTTTCCAAGCTCGTATACTGTAAAGCAACTCCAGTTAGAGTATGCATTAGCGTTACGAACGAGGAAAATTTCTACGCAAAGTTTGATATTTAAAAGAAATACAATTTGTAGTGCTTTATTATGCAATACAAGAAAAATGAAAAACGAAATGA